ACTGCTACTGACGTTAATAGGCTTTCCTAATTCCTACTACATACAAAATCGATGACATTATTTCTATCATACAGAATATATACCACTCCTGTATAATACGAATGAGTTATATTAGTCAATATTGGATTTTCCTGATTGTGAAGTTTGTGATGATCTGTACTACCTCCCAAATAACATAAGGTAAGGACTTTGTCAAGTAATTGGACGGGATAGAGAATCCTGTTCTCATGTATTTTTGGCACTCATTTCATCCTAATCCAAATTTGTTCCTCGCACCAATCTCACTCTACTTTCAGGTTTCAGCCATGCAATAGAAATATCTCCTCTATTGTGTTGTCAACTTGTAATTCATGAGAGATTTTCCAAACCACCGCTGCAATATGCTATGAGGTTGGTTGGTGTGAGGAATAAATACTACATCCCACTTTTGCTACAATGTGAGTGTCGGATTCAATCCTGTGTTGCATTGATTGGAGGGTTATGTATGTGGAAAATACTTTTCTTCAGGCCTGTCGATGGATTGGGTTGGGACAGGGCGTCCCAGTCCCCAATTGATTATTAATCAGGACAAAATCATCATTATCCACCGATTAATCTATAATCAGAATATATAATTGAATTTACCCACCTATGTGGGAAAAAGTACAAAGTGTTTTTATAAAAGTACTTTTGTAAGTGTTTTCAGAAAATTACTTCGTAAAAATGTTTTTATAAAAGTACTTTCATAAAAGTGTATTAATATAATACTTTTATAAAAGTACTTTCGTAAAAATGCTTTTATAAAAATACTTTCGTAAAAGTACTTCCATAAAAGTGCTTTCATGTAAAAGTAGCTTTATAAAAGCACTTTCGTAAAAGTACTTTTATAAAATCCTTTCACAAAAGTAAATATCTATGACAACAGTTTTATAGGTAGAGTTTCTTTAAAGAATGAAATGGGCAAGATGGGGCATGATTATTTTTCAAGTTGCAGACTAATCAATTTTTGTGATATGGCGCTGAATTTTCATTCTAAAAAGAATGTGGCCGTTGGCAAGAATTTTGCAACCAAACACTCTAATGTTATTCATTCTTGCCCACTCTTGCTTAGAATGGGAAAGAATTAAGAGAATGAGGCCCAAAGCAGTGAACCAAACATGGCCTAAATTGCCCTTTTGTATTCAGCTTCTAGGTGCTCGTACCCATGAACTTCTTGTGGCTTCTGTGGGAGAGATTATTCAACCTTTGTATATTCTAGGCTCAAAATTTGGATCAATTGATACTAGTGTACATTTTACTTGGTCAATACAGTTTTACATACCTTTTCTAGGAGTATAAATAGAAATATATAAAATGTAAAAAAAGGTAAATTACAGATTAGTACCCTATACATTGGGTTTAGTCTCATTTTAGTAACCAAACTTCAAAATGTGCCACTGTATGTAGTACCCAAATTCTCGAAAGCTATCAGTTTAGTCAGAACTTGTTAATCGGCATTAAATGACATGTGAAAGGAYACACATTCCTTTCAAGTTTTGAATAGGTAAAAGAAGCATAATTTTGCAATGGCCAAGATAACCATGTTTAAATCCATTTTCACTACAATTGGGTACCATCGGTCACTTTATACCCTAGCCTATCTATCGAAGAACCAGTACTTTCCACTGAAGAAGCTGCACGAAAAAATGTCGCTGAATAAGATGACACCTTTGTAGGAGAAGAGGGATTCAGGCTATCATCATTCTAGTCATTTTTTTTTTAGTTATTCAATCCATAACAAAGGAGAGTTTAGATTGCCGTTGTTGGAGAAGATGGGCAATTCTTGTCATCTTTAGAAAAGACAATTAGGGGCATTCCTTTTCTGGATTTTGAGAGGAGGGAAAGTTGGTCAATGGGATTTTGGTTCCCATTGACCAAGAATCCCATGTTCATTTTTCAGATTTTTGTAGGGATCAGGGAAAGTTTATTTTCCTAGGTATCACTTAGATACCCATCTCCTAGGTGGGTAAATAATTTTCCCACATAGGGGGAAAGTTGCAACACTTGACTGAGACAAAAATGACCATTTTAATAATGAATTTTTATGACTAAAATGGTCATTACCTTATTTACTTGGGAAATATAAAAGAATATGGTTAAATGCACTTACTCGGGTAAGTGTTTCCCAGGAAAAACTTACCCAGATAATTGCATTTACCCGGGTAAATAACTTACGGAAAAATGAATGGGACCTCAAAGTAAAATGGTCTCAAAAATATTAAAAAGGGTAGTCTTGCAATTTTAAAATTTAAGTCACATATATTGTCAGATGATATAGATATTTGATGGACTATTAATGGCAGGTACTAAATTAATTGGTAGCTTTCACAAATCTAGGTACTGTGGTGGCATGTTTTGATGTTTGAATAAAAGAGAGATGAGCCCAAAAGTAGAAAGTACTAATATGCAGTTTACCCAAAAATGTAATTAAGGTTGCATTTGTTATTCTTTTTTTCAAAGGTGCAATTAAAAGTTCAGTGTTCATAGGGACATTTTAACTATAAAAAGAAGATAAATCCTTAAAATAAGGAATTGCAGCTTATATTTCTAAACCTTATTTGCCCCCCTTCCCTTTCTATTAGCCACCAATTAGCAAATAGAGAATCATGACATGAAACACCTGGCAACTAATGACCAATATTTGAGATTGTCACTCGCATCCCTCCAAAAAAAAGGACACGCAGGATCAAACCCATTGAACTGCAGCCTCTTGAAGGCATGGCTGCAGCCTCTTGAAGGCATGGCCACTGAGCCTCACATGCACGCTGCTCTATCCCACCTCAAGAGAACTCCTATGTTGTATGATGATATCATTGATATGTAGATGGTGGGATGCATATTTTTTAGATGAATTCATTAATTAAGCTAACACTAGATAATTATAACAGTTCACATTCAAAAACTCAGGCTCTTCAAGCTAGCATCGTTGGCTTGCTAAAAAGTGAGCAATGCCATTATATATGCTCTAGCCTCTAGTCTCTACTGATGTCTCTAAATGACTCTGCTGAACTTTTTAATTTCAGATCAAATATCATTAACAAGAAACCAAATGTCAGGCTGGAGGTCCAAATTAAGTAGGCACAATATTATAAGCACATTAATTGAATACATAAAAAATTCATTGACACCCATCTCTTAAAATACCCAGCCTACCTTGAAAAATATTAAAAACCATTTTTGACAGTTATCAGAATCTTAATCAACTATTCATTTAAAGTGCTTACTATATTATGGTCATCCGTCTAGTGGAACACAGGATTGGATGTGAAGTGGGAATCCTGTAATTTAATGGTTTTGACTAGGGTGATCGACAACAAAGTGGCCTGGTACCTCTGCCTTCTGACCCGATGTTAACGGCAACATCTGGCATAATCAGGATTTATTATTCCTTTCTATCTAAAGGCTTCAACAATCAACACTCTGTTTGGGCTGACATTATTGCGTGTCTTTCATCTTTTGTTTTTTAAGAGCGGATTGGCTGAATTTGATACACCACCGATGAAGTGCTTAACTGCTTATGTACAGCTAATCTATCATTTGTATGAGATGGCTGATGCAAAGCAAAAGATGATTGGTCATTTGGTCTTAGGATTTTTATTTATAAAAGATCGATCTAGGGTGGTTTAAATCATAATGTTTGCTTCTTCGTCGGGAGCCCAGATTTCCTTTAATCCAAAACCTTGTGCACATAGAGTCCAGTGGCGTATTGGGAATAACTCTCGATTATGTGTGTTAATTTTATGAGATTTTCCCCATTCCCATGCTATTATCAATAAGTCTTTTACCAAAAAAACAACCCAGASGCTGACCGTTTTTGCCTCTGTGTTGCGGATCACTGGTTCAATCATTCGGGTCAAATGAGTTAAATTGTTCTATATCATCTTTTAAATATTTAATTATATTTAGTTATACATATATATATATATATAACAATGTCTTAACCATACATAAATCTTGAAAAGTTATCCAAAATAAATATATATACATATATATATATATGTATCAGAGGTCAAAGTTTTAACCTATGAAAATTTGCATACATGTTTAATGTAAACTCATGACCCAGTCATTGGATGGATCAACAGCCCAACTAGATGGCTTTTGATAAAATTCAGGGTTTTACTAAGCCAGACCCAAAATTATGGCCAGGTGACGATTCAAATAATTCAACTGGCCGGGTCAACGAGGGGCTGAAAACAATGGTGCATAGGACCAGCTAAGGGACAAGCAAGTGTGGTTCCAGCGGTTAATTGGTCAAACTTTCGAACATGAGAGTAGATGGGTATGATAAGAGATGAACTTTGACCAATGTAAGGCTGCATTTAGCATTCCTTAGACTTACCTCCTTTTTGCTTGCAATTAAAGCTTAATGATCAAAACGACATTTTAATTCCAAAAAGGAGATAATTCCTTAAAATAAGAAATGTCAAATGCAACCTAAACCCCACAGTGGGGTAACCCCTCAATGGGGTAGTGGGTATTTTCCTGCTGTCGAGAAAACCGAGACCCACTCTTTCAAACAGAGGAGTGGATTATTCTTTCTGTGGACCGACTCCCCCGCAAAAGATGAAGCATTTGATAGTATGTCTCATTTCACTGTCAATGTTTGGCTGATTTAGCTCCAAACGAATGATTTAGTATTCAACATGCATGCATTTAAACCTACTGATATCTATCCTTTTACCTGGACCGATCCAAACCAACCTATAATTTTGCACAGGTAATATTTATTTGATACATGAAGCGTAATGGGCCCGTCTAGGCTTCATTTATCAACCCAAGTCCAGCCCGGACCCGGACCTACCTAACTAAGTAGTCAAACTTTAGTTCGGGCTAGGCTCGAATTGGACAGATTGAGCTTGATATTGGGCTCAGGCCATGGCCCACTTCCTAGGGTTGGGCCTATTTTGACCTTAAACTTGATCCAGCCCACCAAATTTTCACTCCAAGTGGACTATTCAAGCCAGTTCACCAAGAAGATCTCAAAATGCCCCAAGATCTCCACTATTTTCTTCTGAAAAACTTGGCTGTCCTATTAGGCCATAGGCATTCAACTTGCCAACAAGCTGTTGGTTTCCTGATGCATGCATGGAGACAGATTGTGTTTCTTTGGTGACCAATCTGTTTAAGACGAGGCTGATCACCTCCAGCCTAAGATACTTGGTTTCTTGTTGATGATATTTGATCTGAAATTAAAAAGTTCAGCAGTGTCATTTGGAGACAATGTCAATAGAGAGCATAATGGCACTGTTCACTTTTTTTTTCTAATCAAGCCAAGGATGCCAAGTTGAAGGGGAATCGTACCATCTTCTTCCTTAATGAGTTTTTTGAATGTAAACTGTAGTAATCGTCTGGGGTTGGCTTAATGAATTCATCTTTTAACCAAAAATTAAACACTCCAGTATTCTCTATCACCCACATGCCATCATACAACATAGGCATTCTCTTGAAGATTCTACTTAAACGATGGAGTGCTTGATCCGGATTTTCTGCCCACAACTATCTACCCACCTTGAATTGCAAGCATACATCCCATCCCCATCTTGTATTGTGAGATGTACAGGTGCAGTGTACCATGGACCCATGGTTAGGGCGTGGGTAAAGAGAGTGACTACGAAATCTGATGCCATGTCTAACTGGTTGTTCTCTGCACATGATATACGTGTACACTGTACAAAGTGTATTACACATTCGTTTACATACTCCATCAGTCAAATTGTACATCCGATTCTTTTCTAAGGCATAAGGGAATGAAGGGTGGGGCACAGTCAGGTGCACGTGAGTCACAACTGGGGGGTAGTCCAACCCAAGTATAGATGGGATTCAATCCTAAGTCGCTACTACGATTATATATATATATATATTAAAATATATTTAAAATTTTATTTATAATTTAAAATATTTATTTATTTTTTCGGATTGAATTGGATGGGATTTACAAGTTGGATCAAATTTTTGCTAGGTCTAAGAGTGGGATAAAATATTAATTGCCTCGTATTTTATTTTGACCAACAAAAAGCTAGATATGGGCTGAATGGGCTAACGTGGCGAGCCAAAAAACACTATCAACAGCATATAGGCTGGCTGTTGGCCCCAAACAGCAAAAGTTCTCCTTTGACCCCTATTGTTCACAAAATTTATGTTCAGCAACATGAGTCCCACTTTCTCTGTGATCGGCTTCAAAGGTGGTATTGATTATATGTTTGCCAGACACATCCGGTCCGGGTGGTGGGTCAAAGTTGTATTAGAACTCATAGGAAGCTAAGCTCGAGTTTAGGAGTGTAGCTTGATTTAGACCAACCCAAACCCAAGACGGGCAGTCGATTCCAGTTCAAGATGAATTGACTAATTGAGGAAAAGAATTCGAAAAAAGTAGAGGAAAGCAGAAAAATTTAGATTCAAAAGCAATTTTGTTCATCCTAATTGAAAATGAAATTAACTTTCCTGTCCTTGCTAAGGATCAATCCGAATGAGATTTTGGCCGTGTTTAGCAATGTTCCTCTTGTTTATGTTCTTTTAGAAATTCTTATGTTAGAATAAGAATTTTATATCTTGTTTCTCAGGATAAAGACATTTGGCAAATTGTCTTTAAGAATGGATTTTTGTTCTACAAAAATAGAAACAATGTTTGGATTATGAAACTATCACATCATAATCATGTATTTAAAATTGATTGTTGGAGATAGTCTTCCAAGAGGAGATGATCGTTGCAACAGTTATTGATAAAAAAAAATTATAATTTTAAGATAAAAAAACAGATCATCCAATGATCCAATGTAAAAAACGGCAACAAGGAAGACAAGCTTACCTATGTATGTGATTCTTACCAGAAAAGATGATTTTTCGGAGATGAGTTCTGGTCATTGTCCAGTCCTTGGCACAGCCTCAACTTCTGGTTCCCTTGGTTTGCAGCGATAGAAGGTTGAACAAATGAAGATTTGGGGTTAGGGCTTATAGAACTGGAGTTTATAATTATGTGTGAAATGACAATGTTGCCCCTTCTTTCACGCCGAAATACCGTGCACGTGTTCAGAAATAATGGGAGACGTTGTGAGAACGTGTTCTTTAAAGTGTCAATTTGTTACTCTCTAAGAACATGTTTTTTAAATGCTATTCTCACCAGAAGGTTCCATGTCTTCATTGTCATCCAGCACAGAATCCAGATTAGCTGCACTTGTGCAGCCCATCCGGACTCCATCCACCGATATTGTCTGACAGAAATATACAACAGCCGACCAACCGCCCAACCAAGGTAGGGTTGTTCATAAGAAGGGCTAAATCAATCAAACCGGTCCGACTTAAATCGATATGGTCAATATATCGGTTCAGTGTCGGTTTATAGACATGCATAATCCTGATTGGTTGGTTCGGTTTTAATTTATGTATTTGTAAACCAAAAATAACCCAAATCAAACCGAACCGACTAAGTTAAAAAAGGCAAAATATTCAATTTCCAATGTTCAAAATTCGCAATTTTCCAATTTGTCCTCTTTCTAGTTTCAAAAAGAAAAGTTAAAATTTATATAAAAATTGTATTTTACAAAATTTCTTTCCTAGTTTCAAGAAAAGAAGTCAGAATTCATTCAAATTTCAAAAGCTGTCTCACTCCTTTTTGAGGATTGAGCATCAATAACCTGACAGAAAAGAGCAGGAACGGCCAAAGCCAAGTCTTGTACTGGACCCCAAATGAAGGCTGGTATTCAGGTGGTGCTCCTCCCCTGTCACCGAACGGCCAAAGGCAAGTCTTGCACCGGACCCTAAATGAAGGATGGTATTCAAGTGGTGCTCTTCCCTTCTCACCGAACGGCCAAAGCCACGGTATCCATCACGATCGCCAAATCTAGGTCAGTCTCCCTCAAAACAAGTTGGGCAACATGGGCGATCTCCGGGATGTCCCATGGGCCTACCGGCGGCGTAACAAATTTCTTCAATGTGGCGGAGACAATCTCCGAAGGTAGGTTGAGGTTGGTTTGGAGGATTTCAATCCCATCGTTGGTGAGATACGAAGTAGTAGTGCATCATTTGTAGCGGATTGAGAGTGTAACACCCAAGTAATGAGGTCCCACCAGATAAGAGAGGACTGGAAACGGTTCCAAACCATTGTTAGTTGTATGCATTAACTGTACTGTAGAGAGATATTCTTAAAGTTTCCTACTGCATCCAAGCAAAGGTCTCATGCACGTACTCCTTTGATTTGAAGCTCTGCATCAACTTGATTACCTGCAGATTCGGCACATCGATTTTCGGGTGCTTCGCAAGGTTAAAGCCTTTCTTTGCATAGCAAACATCCTCTTGGAAGAGGTACTTAGAGATCTCTCTGCAGTTCTTCTCTGGAATAATCATGGTTGCGAAGGTGAGAGACGGGCGACAAGCGAAAACACCACCTCCGTCGTAAGTTTTTGAAATCGGTTGGATTTAAACCGACAAACCCGACTGTTCAAATAATAGGTCAGTTTTTATACTCATTCAATCGGTTTCGGTTGGCTGAAACTTCAACCCGAGCAGTTCAGTTCGATTGAAAAAAATAAATGCAACCGAACCGACCCATGTACAGCCCCTACCCAAGGGCCCAGCCACAGCCAGCGAAAAGCGAATACAAAATTGGGCATGAGCTGAGTGTGGACAGGAATGTTTGGTCCTTGTATTGTTATTGGTCAGAGTGTGTGGATCTCCGCCTTTAGTTTAGCTATAGTAATTAGATGCAAAGACATGTATTTGGCATTCTTTAAGGCTATGTTTGTTTTGAAGGAAAATGTAGAGAAAAAAAAAAGAGAAAATAGGAAAACTTATACAAAATTTGTAAAGGTTTTCTTACCTTTTCCTTCCTTTCCTTGCTATTTCCTTTAAACCAAATATAGACTAAGCTTTAACTAGGCTTTGGAAAAAGTCGGATTAAATATGTAGAGGAATTAGGGGTGAGTAATCGGGTTATTCAGTTAAAAAATCAATTGAATTAATCAAAATTTTTAAAATCTAACTTTGAAAAGAAAAGTCGAAATGGAAGCCAAAATTCTTTAATATATTAATATGTATATATATATATATGAGTACGTGTATATATTATATAAATAATAAGTTTGATTAATTCAGTTTTTTTCAATTAACTGATTTTTCCAACTTGTCAAATGAAATTAAAACTAAATTTTTCATTTTAACCAAACAATACATTAGATCGAAAAATGCTAGCTAGCTCCTCACGCAATTCATGAATTTGACGTCCTATATTCTCTCATAATGGGAAAATGCAAATCATCTGTGTTCTATAGGCTCAGTTTGGAAGGAGTATAAATACAAATATATATAGTGCAAAACTGAGCCGTGGTATATATATTTGTATAAACTGAGCCGTAGGAACAATAGACATTGATTTTTTGGTACTAAATGAACCTATGTTATTAGTATACGGATTCTCCTTTTAGCCAATATTGTCCCGCAAATTGTTCTTGTGCCAGCATGTTACGTTGTCATCACTGGTATCATATGCATGATCGAACCAAAATTCTTTGACTCTTGTCGACAGAACCAAGAAATGGGCCTGCCCATATCACTACAATTTTAGGCTGTAAATCCAAGTCTTATTTTTGTTTACGCAAATTAGTGGAAGTACAAATTTTTATTTATTTATTTTTGTTTCAGGATTCACTTTATTTTGTTTGTTTGGGTGGAGTAAAATTAGAAATAGAAACATGTTGTTCCATTTTAAATGAGAGAAAGTAAAAATAAGAAAAAGCTTATCCCTGCTCTAAATGAGTATTAATGAAAGTAGGAGGAAGGTGATACAAAATTTGCATTACTTTTTGGAGTCGTTACTCTTTTCAGGAAGAATAGGATCCCAGGGCTGGACATCTGTCACCAGACCATTAGCATTCATTTATTTCAAGTGGGACCCTTCCTTTCAATGCCTTGCATCCTTCATGGAAGGAGCAAAAGTGAGTGAACTCCAATTTTTGGGATGCAAAAGCTCACCACAAATAAATGTAAATTTTGCATCAGACAGATCAATAATGCGAATCATAGTTACAAATACATAGATGCATGAAATTTATTAATGGCCTTYATTGGTGCCTTGGTAGTCAGATAGAGAATAAATTAGAACCATCAATTGTACTCCATCCTCACCGGAGACGAGGATTTACTCCAATTTTTGGCAACAACGCTTAGTGCAATCCTTGTGATTGGCTAGAAAGAAGAACTATTCAGGCTAATCTGTCCAAGTCCAATCGTGGTTACACTTGGATGAATTAGGTTAGGTGATCAATTGAATTCAGACTTCCGGTCCACACGGTGGGTGGGTAGGGTGGGTCCGCAGTAGTTGATGATAATTGATATGAACTTCTCCGTCCAGGTCGTATAGTTGGATGGTTTTTTATTGAATCCCTCAAGATCCAACGTACGTATTAGGAAATCCCACGTACGTCATCTCTTTCTAGCAAAGCAAATGAATGTCCACACGACTCAACTCTTCCCTTCTTTCCTTCTCTCTCTCTTCCCTCTTCGTCTTCTTCTTACATTCATGAACAGGAAGACTCTATCTACTTCGAAGGTTTTAGCTACAAGAAGCTCAAAAGGGCAATAAAGAAAAAAGATAAGAGAAAATTATCTAACAGATGCAAGAGTTGTTCATGGTTTCACTATTGAAACACCGGAAAATACAACAAAAAATGAAAATGAAAACCGGATAAGTCGCAAGATCATCGAATTATACATAAGATGGTAAGAGAAATAGGAAATTCTGTTCAAGTCAAGAATGTTAATAGAATTTTCTGTGGCTAGCCTGTACAATCCAATAAAATTAGGGAGAAGCACTGAAACCTACGATGTAGTGGGGAAGTAATCGATGTTTGAGTTGAGTGAGATCAAACACCATCGTAACCACCACCGTCGCAACTGCAACCGCTGCCGCCACTCCCGCTGGCACCATGTTGGGCAGGTTTAACGCTAAGGCAACAGCACATCAGACCTACCAGAATCATGAAACCCCAAGCCGAGGCCAACGCCTCTGCCCAATTCAAGTAATGCTCCATTTAATTCTCTGTGATCCTCCTCTCTCCTTTCAGGCCCATTCATCGTCTCATTCTCCGTATATCGATCTGCGTGTTATAAAGCACCAAAACGGTTCATCAAATGAATTTAATCCACAGCCGAAACTCCTCTTTAGAGTAGGACCAGTTAATATTATAGCTCTTGGGCGACCACACCAGCTAAATTCATCGCTGTTCCTCCTGTACTACGGCCGTAGGAGAGAGAGGTGCACATGGACTACTGAGCTTTAATGCTTTATGGAGGCTAAAAATAAGATGGGCCAGCCTGTGAATAGAAGAGCCAAGCAGAGACCAGAGAGTTCAGTTTTGCTACGACATTGGTTTTATCGTAGGGATAATCATAAAACCGTAATTCATGGCCTCAGATGTGTTGCTGTGGCCCCATCACGACGTCACTTGATGCAACTCAAACATGGGGCCACGACATTACATGGAGAAGGATCTGATTTCGTGGTTAAACCGTGTTGTAACAAAAGTGGTTTGAATTGTTAGACGTAGACCCACTGGAAGGCCATAAGCCAAATGTGATTCCTGCAGGGAGAGGCATCTTATTTAAATAATTAGTTATGAATATTCGTTTTGACTAATAAATTAATGAAAATTAGCGTAAAGTGACTGGAAAGAGGGAAAAGAAAAGGAAAAGGAAATTTCAGTGGAGTTCGCTTTGTTTTGACACATTGGCTTACTCTAATTTCAGTTCACAATGACCAAGACATCCTTCATTACGCAATGAAATTGCAAGTATAGTCAAAACCGCTTTTCAAACATGCATGTTGCGAAGAGATGTATACCTCTGATGAGTCATCCTTCGTTACGCAATGAAAGGAACCGGAACCGGAACCGTTTTGGCTATTTGATCGTTTTTGGTCACCTATTCGGGAATCTCCGGACTAGATTGTTCATTGTGATTTAAAAAATGGTTAAAAACCATTGCCCGATTTGATAGTTTGGCCACCTGAGTCAACGGATTACAGACCAAATCAACAATTCTAACAAAAGACTGGCTCAGGGGTGAAATAGAATTGGTTGTCTGTACAATTTCCAGCAAACAGTCCCACCGTACGGGTCAATGACAGTTTGAAAATCATATTCCTACCTACTACTACATCCCCCTCCCCTCCACCAAGATAAGATTGAATTTGCTACAAACAAGATATGTAATACAGGCTACTAAACTCAATCAGAAATAAATATATTAGCAAAAAAAATTAATGTACAATAACATCACCAAGATTGAAAATCATAAGTAAAGAAAATGAGAATTGAGATTCTCGTTTCTTAAGAGGTAAGGGTTCCCATGCACAAATCACTTCCTTAAGGGAATTTGAGTTTAGAATGGATTAGTATTAAACTATTAATCTATATCTATACTACTTGTAAAAGTGTGAATGTGTTTGATTTACCCCTTGATCTTGAATTATCATGGGGCAAATTCGTATTTTAACAAAAAAAAAAATTAATTAAGACAATAAATCAAATGAACAACATTTGGTTTTTGGAATTCTTATTAACTAAAATACCCCTCCTCTTGAATTCGGTTCATCTTCATTGAGGGGGCAAAAAATGTAATCAAAATAATACTATTAAGTACACTCAATTACCAATCATTAAGTCTCATATTTAAAGCATTAAATAAATCTCATTCTTAAATGTGAAAATAAGAATTACTTTTATTAATGATGAAAATTGAATACAAAATTTAATATCAACTAAAAAAAGCAAATTGGTTTTTCCATCCAAGTGGTGGGTTAGTAGTTCAATTGTCTATGCCAAATGGATCAACACATGATGTTATAATTAAATAATAAAATACATAAAGTTCTAACAAATGTAAGGATTTATAGAGAAATGTGACACATTCTATTATATTATATGTTTATCATATAAAAATAAGTGTAATAAATGAAAATTATTTTCATTAATTATGAAATGGGATAAAAACTAGGAAAAAATAAAAAGCACTAATGTCTAACACATGACCCCATTAACCATGTCAAATGTTTCAATGGTTTAATTAGTTACATTATTATAAATAAGTGGTTTGGTGGTAAACAAGCTTACAATCCTGAATTGGGTGATAAATTAATCAATCTAATCAATTGTTTTGACCATAAAATTAAAAACCAATAATCAAACAATATATTAAAATTGCATTTCCTCCCGGTCAATAAGTAGCTTTTATTATATCATAGGTTAAATAATAAAAAATAAAAAATAAAGAAATATTTGAACATGCCATTAATATTATATATTTTTCATATTAAACAAAAAAATATGTTTGAAAAAATAAGAATTATTGTTAGTAAAGATGAAAATGAAAAAATTAAATAAATAAATAACCGAATTAATGTTTTAACAATGGTTTATTGACTTGGTCAAATAAATTGGTGATTCAATCAATAAGGTCATTTAGTTATTGACATTTTTGTAAAAAAAGTTATTTATGTTAAAACATACTCAAAAAATATGATCAAGTGAAAACATCCAATTTTTTTATTCAACCACGAGTTTTAGGTTGAAAGACAATATTGTCAATATATCCACGAGTATATTATGCTTTGATTACATTTCTTCGTTAAATGAATTGTAATAAAAACACTAAAATATTCTTTATCTTCGTCATATCTTTGAAACTGACACGTCCAATACAAGGCACGTGCACATTTACTAATAACTAAGATCGCATTTCTTTGAAAAAAAGTCCTGAAATGGGTCCATTTATGATCTTATTAATACCTTGTTCATAAATGCATGGTAACTTTATTTTAGATAATCCTTTTCAAATTATCGAAGCAATTGAAATTGATAGGAAGATGTCATTTCAATTCAACTCAGTACGTAGAATGCTATCCTATTCTCAAACGCATTTATGGTGCGAAGCCATGATATCAGCTCAAGGTAAGGTGGGCTTCTCGCACCCCACTACAGGACCCAAAAAAAAAAAATTATTTCTTATATTCACCATTTCTGAATTTATCCAGCGAAAAGCACAGCCTACCAGACCAATTTAGCCACCTGGATCTTCTCAGTTTTTGACAATGCCAGCTCTTATTTGTTCTTTATGAAAAATAAATGTAAAGATGAAAACCATACAGAGAAATGAGAACACCAGAATCCATAAATAATAGACTTGAAACAAAACAAAAGAGTCCATTTCACATGTTTAGTATTTCTAGGGTTCATGCCAATATTTTTTTGAATTGCATCACCGAGACTCATGTCATGCTTATATAGATTAATAGTTGTGATCATCAACCAACACCGCCTAAGAGGGTGTGTAGGATTCGTGGATCAAATAAAAACACTGAATTAAAACCACTACCATTTTCGAAAGGAAATCCAAACCGTTCGCCTTGAATATTAATGCAGCCCATAAACTCCGCCAGGTGGGAAACACCATTTCCATTTCCTATCATGGATGAGAAGATAGAATTTATGCTTTCATCCATTTTTAAAGTGTCTCTTAAAGTGAAATGGACTTCAAATTTTTGCCACTGTTTGGAACCGATAATCTGAAATTTGTTTTTTAGGTAAAGTCTGATGCTTGGTTATATATTTTTCTAAAAAAAATGTTTTCTCAGACCACACCTTGAAAATTAGAAAGGTGTAGTATTTTCTCGTTTTTTTGCAGTTGCTAGGACAACAGTATAGCACTGAAAAATGATTATGTGGCAGCAGCATCAATGGTCCCAAACAGGAAATAAAATGTTTTCTGAAAAAACAGCATGCCAATGCAGCACAGTTTTTTTCAAAAAACACCTTTCAAGAAAAAACAGTGGTTCCAAACATAAAGATAATTAGCAGTTTTCATTAAGACCCTCAAAATCATCTTCAATTAAGGCCATCTAAGAATTCAATTTTTTATCCAATCCAATTAGGTTGATTTGAACATCCTTTAAATTCATGGAATTGGATTGGGTTTAAAAAGCATATTTATTGGATTGAAGTGGATAATTCAATGACCATCTATAAGATCAAATACAACAACGAAGAGAAGGCTTCGGTGGCTGAAGGATGGTATTTTCTTTGTTGTTAAAATAAAATTGTGAACGTACAAAATTTACTCCAACCAGTCTATTCTAATAATAATTACGAGGCTTGCTAAATAATATCACTTTGGCACTACACTTGGTCCAGCTATGACTTCAATTGTTCACTCTACCTTAATAATCATTACTTGTACTAATGTCCCCTTGATGCTGAAATGAATATTGAATTGAATTTGACTCAATTGGATATAAAGTCTTGGTAAGGATCTGCTGCCAACAAAACACTTCCAATACTGTTCGAGATATTCCCAATGTGCAGTTGCAATGGTCTGTTTGGACAATTTTAAAAGTATCGTATTGGTAACAGATCTGAACTCACAAGGGGGATATCTGCTTTCGCTTGAATTTACATCTCCACCCCACAAACGTCCCACAGCACGATGATAGTAATCTCTTTGGCTTCCTGCAGGTCATAAATACCACTTATCATTTGGTTAATACTTAATTGCACAAGTACCCTGGTAATATTTAAAATTCAGATTGAATTGGATCGTTGTACTTCACATTGTAATCAAATCAGATTGGATTATATAAAAATCTAATACATTAACAGCTCTACTTCAACCCGTATTTAAAAAAAAAAAAAAAACTTCAACCCGCACTTTTACTCTTTTAGTTTAACACTTGCCACATGTCACAAAAAGATAAACCCCCTGTGATTGGTTTGGCCTCCCATCATCAGCGGCGAATCGCATTAAAAGAGCCAGCCTTTGCCTTTGCACTTACAAAAGAACCGTCAAAATCTGTCAACAATACCGACAGATCATTTATCTAACAAAAAGAGAAAAAAAAAAGATACGGATCGAATGATGCTTTTTATCCATCCTTGAAAGTTGAAATCACTGTCCATATTTACTTTCAAAAAGTTTATTTTACGGAAAATTCCGGATCAGTACATTGTACTTTGGCTCAAGTGACAATTTGGTCTTAAACTTTAAAATGCAATAATTTAGTATTCAAATTTTCAGAATGTGACAATACAATATCTACCGTTAATCAGTCTGTTAATTAACCGTTAATAACATTTGAAAAGTCAAAAATGCTCTAACAATGCCATCTAATTCTCTTTATCAACCATCCAAACATTAACAATAAAATAAACAGTCCCAAATTTTAGATTCTTATAAACAATCACCAATTTTTTTGAATAGAAGAATCTAAAATTTGGGACTATTCATTTTATTGTCAATGTTTGGATGGTTGATAAAGAGAATTAAATGGCTTTTGAAGAGCATTTTTTATTTTTAAAATATCACTTAACAACTGATTAACGGACTGACTAATGACAAGTACTGGATTGTCACATTTTAATAGTTCACGTACTGAATTGTCATATTTTAAGAATTTGGGTACCAGATTGTTACATTTAGAGTTTGGGGACCAAATTGTCACTCAAACCAAAGTACAGGATACTCATCGGGAATTTTCCCTTTATTTTATAAGACTTCAAAAGATCTGATTGGGCTTTCAAAATCCACCGCAGAGCACTGCAATTCTTGACTTTTGGACAACTGGACAAGTGGTTTTCCGTTTTTCTGGTAAATACTATGGGTGTAGTTAGGGTCAGGTTGGGTTGGGGATTTGTTACATTTTCAATGGGCTTTTAGCCTAACCTTATGTAGTTGAATTTCTTGCACCATGGTAAATAGTTAAACCTGGTTTTTTCTTGGCAAGTACACGTAACCTTAGGGGTGGCAATTTTTCCCATAAAACCAGGCCCCATTCCGCCCCATCGTCGATCTTAAATGGGGATAAGGAACACAGTTGCATCTATAAATCAAAATTTATTCCCACATAACAAAATATAGTCAACATATACCAAATCTAAGAACAGATAATCTCCTGGTGAACAAGAAAAAGTACCCTTGGCTGGCCAATATTTCTTACAATTTCAATTTATAAATTCTAAGGTGATTACCAATAAAATTGGGAGACATTCAAGTTCTACAGAAATAAGTTCTCCGAAAGATTTACAACCAGTGGCCTATACAGATATGTAGCTTCCACTTACAGGAGGGAATCTTCTACAGCAGCTTTTTGTAAGAACATCAGAAGCAGCAGCAGCTGTTAAGTGCCTAAGCCCAACTTCAGAATACCAACTCATAGTTCACAACCAATTGGAAGATTCCTAGGCAAGGGCAAATGCAATTGGTTAGACTACAACATATAGTAGCCGGAGAATGAGTAAAGAGTACCACTTCTATCTGAATGCCAGTTTTACATTCTCAACAGTTTCATCCAACACCCCAATTTGTGCAAAGCAACTTAACTCTTAAACTATGGGCCCGTTTGGGAGGGTAAGCTTAAGATTCAACTAAGCTAGTTCAGCAGCTTTGAAGCACTCCAGATAGGATGTTCAAAAAGGCTGAAGCAGACAGCCTTTAAAATGACTAATAGGCGGCCAATTTGGGCTCTAGATTTTCACCAAAGAGAGCTTATAGGCTATCTGTGTGAGGCCCACCTCAGAAAGCCAGAATCCGCTGCCCTTGACCCCTCCCAAATGGGCACCTCGCCATTGTATGAAAGGATATCCAGTACTAGCAACATAACCTTGAATTTTATTTTTCTCTGCTATTTTTGCTTAGGTGAACTTGGAGGTAGGACTGGGAGAAGACGTAATGTGATAGTTTCCATATATATCTAGGCCAACTATACCCTATTCTTTGTACCCATGTGACATGCAATGCAAAAAATATCTAGAACATAAATGCAATCTGTATCAAGGATATATCCATGTTCAGTCTTGCACCACAATAATTCCAATAACAGATGAATGGAAAATGGTAACAAGAAAATTAAAAAGACAAGGAATATTTGTATTGGTTCTTCTACTCATCAAAAAATAAATACATGCCGGTGTTTGTTACTAAGCAAAAATAAATTGATCAAGAAAAAGCCAAGCTTAAAATAAAAGGCAAAGGTTTTGGACTGAATTAAAACTACTGAATGCAGAAGGCAAGAACACGGGCTACAAAAAGCAATGATGTAAGGAAATATTTTGTCCCAATAATGTGAATCAACTAGAGAAAATTGGTTCAGCCAAATTCAGATCTCTCCTGGCACAGATGTATAGAGCAGAAATATATCAAATAAAAAATGAATGAATGAAGAAATGAAAATTATACCTGTGAGATCATAAAAGGTAAAAGACTGAACATATAGTAACTGATAGGGACAAAATGAACATAGAGTACAATAAACAGAAACCAACATATAAACAGTGTTTTACAAGTGAGAGGCACAAGAAAGGTGCAAGGACCTTTAGTGCCCAAGGCACAAGGACAAGCCTGAATGAAGCAAGGTGCAAATTTAAAAATTAAAAAAAAAAAACAATTAAAACAAGAAAATGAAAACTTGAATTTTGAAGGAAATTGGATGTTTTAAAAAGCTTCTTATCGCTAGTCAAACTACACAAGCATAATATAAAAAATAAAAAAAATAAAAAAAAACAAAGTGAAAGTGAAAGCAAATAAGTGTGGATTGTACCTAAGTGCTTCAAGCACTCGATAATTAAAGCATGAAAAAATTCCAATGTGTTGTTTTTATCTCCTAGTTGCGTTACTTCAAGTGGCTACTGTCATGTTAGACTTCTTGTATTCCTAATCCTAGGAGCTTAGGGCCTTTTACACTGATAGACCTTAAGGCAAGTCTAAACAAGCCTCTGTGGGGGGTTTAGAAGCAATGCCACCAACCCTTTTTTTCTTGATTGGTAACTTTACTGACTGTGATAAAAGAGTAACATGCACAAAGATCTTGATTGGCATTTTAATAGGCTAACACAAGTCACTTGTCCCCAAGTTTCTTTCAGTACAACTAGGTCACCCCCAAGAAATGGTTGTGCCCCATTTTCTAAGGATGTCAGCCTTAGTGAAAGATGTAAAAAAATACACTAATATTTTTATAATTTTATCCAATTGACCACTTTTATAGAGATATTTTCAATGATTGACTCTTTAGCCCAATCTATATATAAAGGGTTGGTTTTATGATTATTAACCGCAGTCCATTATATTTTAAGGTCAAGGATAAAAAATCAGTTGTATTGGTGTTCCTTCTTAAGTGGAAAACTTTCTTAGATCCTATCCACAACCAAAGCTTCAGGTAGTTAAAAGGACTTTGTTTTTGTTTTTTCTTTGAAAGGTTAATACACCAATACTAATGCAGAAGAACCAAGGTAATTTGGAAGTTAATAAACCATTACAAAAGCGTAACCATAGAAACAAACTTACAAAAGGCTCACACCTTGGCCAAAGCACAAGGTGCACCAGGCACACACCCTCTGAAAGGGGCTGGCACCTGGGTTGAAGTGAGATGCACTCCTGTCCACCTAGGCACACCATATAAAACACTGCACATAGCAGTTATGGTGGCAAGTCCATTTCAAGGCACAACTGATATAATGGATGGTCAAAGATAGCAAATCAACATAAAGACTTCAACAAGGTTTTTGTTAAGAAACTTAGCTGATTATCAATAATTCCTGGTCTATATGAACAGGAAAAACGGGTAATTATCAAAAAAAAAGAACGGGAAACACAAGTTTGCATGTCAATGCTTCAGGAAGGAATTATGCTTTGGCTACATGGTGATCTATGCATGTGTTACACTTAAACTAGCACAATGAAAATCCATGAAGTCCATTGCAACATTTTCTCCATCACAGGTTAATTTCACCAAGGAATAAAAACTTTATATGAACACCCAAACACTGCAAGGCTGGGTTTGGATTTGGAGTGCAGAATGACACAGAAGTGGAAAAGAAAGATGGAAGCCAAAAAAAAAGAGGTTCCAGGATTAGTTTTTCAATCAAAACCAAAAAAAAAAAATGAGGATAAAAATCTGCTGCTCTCCATATTACTTGGACTACTTTTGGGGGTCAAACCATTGGTTGCAGAAAGTATCAGATGAACTTTTGATTTACATCACTCGTTTTCCAATCCATCCCAACGCAAACAGTCTAAGTTTAATAGTTTTGATCTTATGACACAATTAGATTTTTTATTGGTATGACAAAAACACATCTTTTTTTATGGACAAATACCTTAAAAACAAGAAGCTTTAAAACAAGTAGGAATAAAACAGAATATATGCCATGTATATATAATATTACTAGGAATGCAAACCAGGGTACATTTAGGATTGGAGACCATAGATAAGTTAATGTGAACCTTTTCTAGTACCTTGGTTTGATAACTCATAACAAGGAGGCATTGAGTAGAGGTGTAAATTGGGCCATGCCATGCCGGCATGACACGATTTTGCAGGTCACCCATGCCTTAGCGAGCCACAGGCCTGGGTGGACCGTGCCTGCCTAGCTCAGAACCCCTAAAAGGTCAGGCCCGGCATGGCCCACTGTCATTCCATGTGCCAGCCCACGGGCCTCAAAACCCAAGCTCAGCACGGCCAATATCGTGCCAGGCCATACCAAGCCGTGCCAGCCCACAGGCGGCATGGCCCACTTTACAGCTCTAACATTGAGGAAGAGGATGCCCATAGAATTAGGGCAAGAAAGACAAAATGGAGGGGTTCATCCGAAGTCTCAAGTGATAGCAAATACTACATAGATTAAAAGGAAAATTCTATAAAACAGTTGTAAGGCCAGTTATGTTGTATGGAGCATAGTGTTGGGCAGTCAAGAAACAACATGTCCAAAAGGATTTGTATGGGAAAAATGTATATACCGAGATGAATGAGTGGAAAAATTATATAGTATAGGATCAGAAATGAAGCCATTCAATGAAAACTAGGAGTAGCTCCAATAAGTGATAAAATGAGAGAAAGTAGATTAAGGTAGTTTCGTCATGTGCATAGAAGACCACCTGCGGAACCCATAAGAAGCGATCTGTTATAAGTTTAAGCTAGAAGGGCTAGGGACAGACCAAAACAGACATGGATCAAAGTAGTAAGAAATGACTTAAGCACTCATAATTTCACAATGGATATGACATTGAACAGAATGGAATGGCAAAACAGGACTCGTGTAGCATAGATGATAATGCTTGGATGATGATTATGAAGATTACAAACAAAAAGTAATTATCAAAAATAAATTACAAACAAAAACTTTGTTTGATGTGCAGGCTTTACTACATAGAAGCTCCTGGAAATCAGCATCTAATTTCATTTTTTATTAAATATAAAATTCTTAACTTAGCAAAAAAACCTATTTAACTGTCAACTTAGAAATTAAGCAGGACCATAGTACATCCCACTAGAAGATAATTATTGGGAATCCATCAGAAAATATAGAACAAAAAAAAAACATCGTAGATTCACAACCAAGAAATCAAGATTGTTATTTCCCCTTGTCCAGGGAAGAAGGAGGAAACACCTAGAGGGGGGAAAATGAAAGAATAAGATACAATTCTACATGCAAATATCAAATTAATAATCAGAATAAAATGAGGAAGGTTCTAAAATATATTACTTACGTCTATGAACTCCACAGGATGCACAACCAGTTACAGTTCACTATAATTGCGCCATACTGCACGGAATTCCTCACGGAATGTGTTAAGGCGTGCTTTCAGATTAGGTGTTCTAAAGCTTGCATGAAGGAGAGTGGCTGCAAGAGATGGCATAGTTAGATGGGGATAAAAAAATTAAAAAAGAAAGTTGAAAGAATTATAAAGAAAGCCAAGTATACCATACCAAGAAGGCCAATGACAAATGCCCATAGAACTGTAAGCAGACCACAAGAAGTGATCCATAGGATGCAACTGGCTGGAAGAGAAAAAGGTTATCAATTAATCAACATTAAGGGACATTATTTCTATTTATGTAGACATAGGAGATAATCTATGTGTCAAATACCTGCTGAAAATACCAATACAAACATCCAACGTGGCCATCCACATATATGAATTGTCCTTTTAGGTGATGGGCGTCCCCGAATAACAGGCCTGGAAAAAATTCAGCTGTTAGATGCAGCAACTCTGTTTGCTCCAAAGACACAAAAAGCATGCAGACCCACTTACGTTACAGGAGGTCTCATCTTTGCAGCTAAATGTGGAGAGAACTGTCTCACAGTTCTTGTTACCTTCTCATTAAAAGTAACTGCAAAGCTGTAAAACCAGTTGTCAACAACAATATATGGACAAAATAACCAAAATGATTTCTACACAGATGATAAATATTAAATAATAACACGGACCAAAGTGATGTAAATGCAAAGAAAGATCTAATGAACAAATGAATAAGCTAATATTTGCTCTCTCTCATTATGTTTCTTGCGGTTGTCCCATTATTGAAGTTATGTTTTTCTTTCAACCCTACATAAATCATGCTTTCTTTTCTTTTTCCAAATTATTTTTACGTTAAAGTGTTTCCCCAATATGCTTCAACACCTAAAGTGTTTAAGAATCTCTTTTTTTTCTTTTTTCTTTTTTGCATTTTGTTTTTCTTTCATGAAGCCTTCCTCCAGAAACCTTTTTGTTATTATAAAAGAAATAAAAAGATGGTAACGAATGATTAGTTGGCACATTTTTCCACATATCATAACGAATAATGAAGTTAATGCATTCAATGATCCTGATTAACGGCTCTAACCATCAATGTAGTATAGATGTTAGCCATGTATAAACATGTCTAAAGTATTGGACAAAAGATTTACACCAAAATTTTAAGTCTACAAAAGACACAGAACCATATTGAAGCATTCATGTCATTTATCCAGAAAAAATAAAATAAAATATTGAAACATTCATGTAACAGAGGTTCTTACTTTTTATTTTTGAAAAACCGTAACGTATTAGTATAATTTGTGATTTGTAAATCTGCAGGAAAAAGGAGTGAGGGGGGGAGCTCCTCTTTCCTTCTAAAATCATCAAGTACCATTTTGAACTATTACAAAATCATAATCCTAGCTTCTTCTTACTTCTAATTGGACTAGGCCTTTCACCACCTAAATCTAAATTTTCTTCCTCTCACTTGGTGATGGCCCCTCTTGACCTCACTATTGCATGGGATCAAGGCAGCAGAATATCTATCAAAGCAAAAATGCAGTAGTAACCTAGGGGGGATGCATCTTAGAGTATACAATTTCAACGTGCACATGCACCCAATTAATCACACAGATTAAAATTATGATATAAATTGATATACTGAAAGAAAGCTTTTCTTTCAACAAATATTCAAATTTCACTAATATTACTTGTGAATTGCTATCATCGTCATCTAAGCCTTGTCCCAAGTCCCAACATATGTTACCCAGATACATCAGGGAAACAGCTGGATACGGTATCAGATACAAAAATTACACTAAAAATTGAAGTATCCTACATGATATGGTGTCAGCTATGTAAATCCTGTTCCACCATTCTGTTCTCTTCAGTGGCATACCCATTGTTAAATTTTGAGAATGCCTTCAAGTTACCTTCTTTAGTGAGCTTACTGGAAATGTAAAGAATTTCTAAAATTCTTTTTTTATTCAGTAGAATTTCTAAAATTCTTAAAATGCTTATGGAAAATTTTTCCCTTATAATGGCAAATGGGTCCCAGTACGACGAAAGGCCATTGTGTGCAGATAAATTATATGCTCATGAAGCAAAAATACAAATTCAATCGGGATGTTGAATACCTCCAACTGAGCATTGGAACATGTCACGATGGTCCACTTAATTAGAATTGATCTTTTCTTGTTTTAGTAGGAGAAGTTTGATTAAAATGACTGCAATAAACACACACTCAACTGCTCATTATACTCTGCTCTAGCTGAAACTAGAGCCAAAGAGAGAACACAGCAATGGTTATATCCCTTTTCAATGCTAGAAGATATATCTGATATGGTTCTTAATGATTACTTTTGTTGGACAATTATCAAAAAATAAAATGATTACTTTTGTTGGAAAGCAATTGGCTATTACAAGAGACCAGAACAAAGATGGACTGATTCAATCAAGGAGCAACGTGGTAAAACAAACATACAGAGAGCAAATACGATACCTGTCATTCAGGAAAGCAATGCTCAGTGCTGTTAAAAGAGCAGCAATAATAGCAAGTGGCCGCCTTAGAAATCCCATCCCTGCAGTAAATAAAGTATAAACAGCAAATTAGAAAGATATCCAACACAGCAGTTAAAGGCATTCTAGCAATCATAAAAACCTTTCTGATCTTACCGATAATGAAGATTATCATGATGAAGTAATTGGTCCGATAACTGCAAATACACGTAAAGAATCAAATAGCAAGTTAGAAAAGCGATCGTCGAACGACAGACATAAAAAGCAAATGATCGGAAATAAAATGCCGACAAATTTTCAAATTACATGGAAAACGAAATTGCCTAAGAACAAGGGTTTTTGACCGGATTGCAAAACCAGTAAAGAAGGGAGGAAAAGGGGTCGTACTAGTAGAGATTGCATTTGAGGCGGCTGTTCCATTTAGCATACGATCTAGGGACGGTGAATTTCGAGAAGAACTCTGTGAGAGGGCGAGGAGGTGATGACCATTCCACTTCACGAAGCGCATCGATCAGATCTTCCGCAGTTACGTTTCCCCAATCCATCTATGTTTCAGTACAAAACCCTAGAATTGGTTCGCCCAACTCAAAAAATTCAACGCAACCCCTAAAAGATTGGCAGATAACCTCGATCACAGTTGCAGTGCTTTTTTCCCTATAAATTATTAACTGGGAAAGAAGATTCCGCGATCAAAATTCGCTTAGCCAAGGGCCGTCTTCCAACTTCAAATTTGAAGAACGTAGGAAAGAAAAGTTTTCTAAACGCGTTGGATGATTTCGCATGTTAGGGGACAGTTTTGATGTTTGCACTATGCAAATTGCAATTACTAAAATGCCACTAGACTATCAATGAATTTACTAAAATGCCACTAGATTGTATTTTCACATAAATGCCCCTCCTTAAATTTGATTTGTTAAGCAAAATTTAGTTTATTGAAACGCATAAATTGTCTGATCACGGGTTCGAACCGGGGACCTCTAATGTGTGAAACTAGCGTGACAACCAACTACACCACCCGAACTTGGTCACTACGGTTATAGGGTACTGTTATTTGTAATATGAAAACTGTAATTACTAAAATACCTCTAGACCATCAATAAAATTTCTAAAATGCCACATCCTTTGCATTTTCACAAAATTGCCACTTCTTACACTACTAAGCATGCACATGGTAATTCTAGATGATGATAACAATAATAATAATGCATTTAAATTTTTTTATAAATATGTATTTTTTTATTTTTTATATTATTTTTGCTTTTTATTATTAATCAGATGCAAATTGCAAAATCCAAATCTGATTACGATATGTCACACTTACTTTGTGTTTAATGTGATAATTAATGAATAATATACATGTGCCTCAATGATTATTTTTGCAACACTTATGTATTTATGACATTAAATGTTAATACATTTGACCTAAAAGTTAAACTATTGATCTTAACCAAGTAGTAAAAAGTAAAATAATTTCACTTTTTGTCAATTCTAAAGTATGTATTTCATTTTCATTATCAATAAAAAAATATTGTTATTACACTTATTTTTTTAATTTGATTAATAAAAGTATCATAAATGTCTCTAATTTTTTCTGCATTTTTTGTAATTTTCTATATCTATTTCTATTTTAAAAATTGTATTACCTAACTATGGCTTCATAGATTTATCAATTTGATTTAAATGGTTTAATTGATTGGCCTTCACTTGGATAAAGAAATGTTTTTGTTTGTTAGCCAGTTTTAAAATATATGAGTTTACATTGTTAAAAATATTGRCATAGATTTAATTAGTACATTTATTGGTGAAATATAACATAATAGAAAATGATAGTTAATACCTTTGAGTATAAGACTTAATGAGACGAATTAGATAAGGTGGAAAGTAATAATTAAAGTTACATTTTCAAGCCTTATAATTATAAATTGATTAAATACATATATATGGTCATTATAATAGCCATTAAAGCTATAATACATTTACACTTTTATATATAACTAATAAGTGTACACGTGCTTTGTACGTGGTAATTCTAAATGATGATAATGATAGTAATAATGTATCCAACTTTTTCTATAAACTTTACATATTTTTTATTTTTTGTTTTTTATTATTATTCGAATGCAATTTGTAAATCTAAATCTGATTACATAGACACCTCATTCAAATATGTGATAATCGGATCGAGTTGTGAAGTTTCAAATATCATTGATAGGCCTGCTTGCTTGGTTATATTTTTTTATTGATATTTAATCTGTTTGGTGTAACTTTTTTTTGGTTAATTTATCAAAAAAAAATGTAAGATTTAAATAGAAATAATTGAATGGGTGAAAAGTAAATATAGACTAAATTTAAAAATGAGTATTTTAGTCAAAAGAAATTTCTATAATCTTATTCATATTTTTAATGGTAGTGTAAATATAGAATTATAGATGTGTTCAATTTTTTCTATAGATTTTTTGTATTTTTGTGTGTAACAATAATTCTAATATGTCACACTTACTTCTTGTTTACCATGATAAATATATGATATTATACACGTGCTTAAATGTTTTTTTGCAAAATTTATGTATTTTTTTCATTTTTGTATTATTATATTTTATTAACTTTTATTATCTATTTATGACATGAAAGGTTAACATGTTTTGACCCAAAATTTGAACTATTAATCTTTGCCAAATAATAAATTTATTTAATTATTTATCATTTTTAAATTATGTATTTCATTTTCATTACCAATAAAAACAATTATTGTTCTTATCATAAAAAATATTGTTTATTAATCATAAATGTATCTAATTTTTTCTGCATTTTTTGTAAGTTTTTATATGTATTTCTATTTTAAATTTTTTATTACCTAACCATGAGTCTATGACTTCATAAGTTAATCAATTTGGTTGAGATGGTTGAATTGCTTAGCCACCACTTGGATTAAAAGTGTTTTTGTTTTTTAGTCAAATTTAGAATATGAGTTTATATTGTTAAAAATATTGACACAAATATAATATATATAGGAATGGTTTCAGGCCAAAGCCTCCCCCAGTCAGACATGTGGTTCTCCTCTATTCAGACACATATCATTCCAAAGATTTAAACAAAATGGACACGTGTCAAATTCTGATTAGTGGTAGTTCAAGAAAAGAACCCACTAACATGTAGAGTGGAGCCCGCCACCATGAAGAGTTGTGAGAAGTGGGAAGCTTCCACTTTCAATMATTTCCTAAAAAAAATGAAATTGTGTTATTAATTACTCTTAACTACTAAACTAATTAATTAATTCCAGCCATTGATTACTAATAATAATTAATGTTAATTACTCCCGATTAATTAATTTCAGCTATTAATTACTAATAATAATTACTCAATGATAATAATTAATTACTGAAAATAATTTATTTTAATAATTATTGCTATTACTTAATTGTTGATAATAATTAATTAGTGATAATATTGCTCATTATTAATTCAGAAAAATAATTTCTTATAATAATTACTGCTAATACTTAATTACTGATAATTTATTATTGATAATATTGCTCATTATTAATTTGAAATGATAATTAATAAATATTTTCATAATGGTAATTAAGAGCAGAGCTCTATAGGCTCGAGCTCGGCTCGTTGTCACCCCTAATAATAATAATACTTTAATATTACTGATTTTAAAATCACTACACACATAATAAGAATATATTATTAGTTAATAATAACAATAATATACTTATTATTATTACTGATTTCATAATTATTAATTTATTCATAATATTGATTATTATTAAAAAAATGTTAATAGAAAATTTTAATTATTTAAAATTATTTGTTGAAATTACCCATTTTGAATCAGATAGATAATTAATTATTAATTTTAATTTCTTAAAATTATTATTTACTGAATAATTTTAATTATTGTTTGATTAATGACATAATTTTTGAATAATTGGTTTTTTATGTTCATTTTTTTTTGCAAAAATCCAAATAATTTTTCTTTTGAAATGCTAACCATTTTATTTTTTTCTTATTCAGTTTTCCAAAAGATAAAAAATAAATTAATGATATTTATCTATTTTTATCAAATTATGTATTTATCAAGTTGTTGTCATTGATGATGACAATGGTGATGAGTCAACTTTTTGAAAGATATGGGTATACTAATAATAATTAATGACTTCTAATTAATTAATTCCAGCTATTAATTACTAATAATATTAAATCACTAATAATAATTTCTTATAATAATTATTGATAAGACTTAATTACTGATATTAACTAATTACTGATAATATTTCTCATTATCAATTCAGAATGATAATTAACTAATAATAATTAATAACAATTTTCATAATGGTAATTAATAATTCAGAAACAATCATTTTATATTTATATTAACTCATATTAATTATTTTGAAAATAAATAGTTAATGTTAATTACTTATATTAGAATTATTATCAAAAATTATAATTCATACATTTATATTAAATAATTAATTATATTATTGTGAGTAATTATAATTAACACTTATATTAATTAATATAATTATATTATTATTATCAATAACTATACTTAATTATTACTAATAATAATGATTCTTGATAAAAATTAATTACTGATAATTAATTCCTTAATTATAACAATGATAATTGTTACTTTGGAATGTTAATTAATTAGTGATAATTAATAAGTATTTTAATAATTTTAATTATTAATTGGGATATAATCATTTTATATTTATACTAATTCATATTAATTATTTTACAAATATATAATTAGTCTTACTTATTTACATTATTATTATAAGTATTATAATTAATACTATTATTATTCTCAAATAAATATTTCATTTAGTGAAATCTAAATTATAAACTTTCAATTATTCATTATTGTTAAACTAAAAGAATTATAAAAGCAATTATTATTTCAGGAATTAACTAGAAATCGTAATTATAACAAATTAATTACTTCATAATATAATAATAATAAGAAGAAGAAGAAGAAGAAGAAGAAKAATAGTAGTAGTAGTAGTAGTAGTAGTAGTAATAATAATTTAATATTACTGATTTCAAAATCAATACACACATAATAAGAATATATTATTAGCAAATAATAGTAATAATAATATACTTATTATTATTATTTATGATTTCATAATAATTAATATATTATTAATCTATATTACTCGATAAAGATATGGAATAAAAAAATATTCAAATTACCACTAAATGAATGAACTAAAAATCTATGAGTATTCTAATTGACTTGAATTTGGCACATTAACATGCCCATAATTATAATCTTAGCCTACATTTCTTATTTTTATCTCTCAATCCCTATAATTCAAACATACCATTAGGTTATGTATAGGTTTCCCTACCTTTTTCTTATAGATAAATTCTACTCAGTCTACGTGCATTGTGGGGAGATTATACTTAAAATCCATAACCATGATCGACCAAAAGAAGCATTGCCACCTAACTCGAAGGTGTCTTCCATACTCAAGAAGATCTCATTTTATCATTTCTTTCACGTTTCCTCTATTGGATGGGCTATGGAGTCCTTATTTATACTATTAGTTGATTGTAACGATACATGATGATGATTTGATTGTAGTCATATATTTTTCATCTCTTACTTTAGAGGATTGATGCATTTGCAAATGTTGTTTGGTATCGATTGTTTTTCTTAGTAGCTCTTTGAATGATTTTCTTAATTATTTGTCTCTTTGAATGGATATCATTTAAATGCTTTTTATCCATTCATATGTCCCTAACTATTAAGCAATATTGGTGATATTGTTGTAAACATCCATCTAATTTTACTATTTTATAAATAGATTAATGATTTCAAAGTTACTGATACTATTTTGGGGGTGGGTTGCTCAAGAAGACATTGATTTTTTTATTGTTAAATAGTAAATTTCAAATAAAATGATACTTTAGTTGCCCCTTACTTAGTTTGGGGTCATTGTCTAAATAAAACATGGTAAGTCTCTTAAATCAAATAAAGAGCCTACCCTAAATGTCTATTATAAATAATTAACAAAATGAAAAAAATCAAATATTTAATTGGTGAAAATTACTGAACTAAGTAAATAATAATAATAATAATAATAATAATAATAATAATAATAATAATCAATTATTTATAGAAATAATTAATAATAATAATAACAATCATCAAGTACTTAATTAAGTAAATAATAAAAAATGAAATAACAATCATCACTTATCATTAATGTTTATTCAAAGCATGCCCCATAATAATTAACAAATGCAGTAATTAAACCTTAGATAATAATCAATATTTATTAACGGTCATTAAAATTGCTAAGCCAAATCATTAATGTTTATTCTTAAATGCGAATTATGAATTAACAAATCTATTATATAATAACTATACTTGGTTGAAAAAATTATTTTAAGTAAATATTTAAATAATTACAAACTTAGTAATATTATTACTATATAACAAAAAAATTAAATTAAATACTAAACTAATAATAATAATAATGGTTAAATTAAAGTAGTAAAAAGTTAAAGTTCAATTTAATGACCTGTATAATTTTACGGGTTTGACATATAAGGGTCAATTTATGACCTATAGACTGTATGAGTGTCTTAAAAAATGACAGTTTATAAACAATAACAAATAATGGTAATAAAAATCATTAATGTTTATTCATATATATATATATATATTAATATTATAATTAACTTCCTCATACTTAGTACGTGGTCATTCACTAGTATAATTTAATAAGAGAAAATGAGAGTTAATAACTTAAGTGTAAGACTTAACTAGTGAATGACCCTGTACTAAGTACGGGGAACCAATAATGTTAAATTTGCATTACGGAATCAATAATGCTAAATTTATATTTGTTAATATTTTAAATAATTATTAAAATTTCAATAAATAGCTTTTCAATAATTATTAGAATATGGATTGAAAGTGGTTGTGGATAACCACTTTTGCATTTTTTGCATTTTTTTTTTAGGAATGGATTGAAGATGGTGGTAGTGGGTTGTGGGTTTTAGCAACAACTTATCAGAAAATGCCACATGTCTACCTTTCTAGAAAAAATGAGAAGGCCATGTGATGGTGGAGAGTCGTAGCCTAGTAGTGGGTTGTGGGGTTTAGCAATAATTTATCAGAAATTGCCACGTGTCTAACTTTATAGAAAATGAGAAGGTCACTTGTGTGAATGGTGATAGTGGGCTATGGGCTTTAATAGCAACTTCTCAGAAAATGCCATGTGTTTAAATTTGAAAAAGCCACGTGTCTGAATGATAGGGGCTATAGCCTGAAAGCCTTATTATATATATATAAGATAAGAGGGGATTAAATGAGGTAGGAATTAATAATGGAAGTTAGAGATGGAATAAATACACAATTATAGACATTTTAGTAGCCATTAAAGTTGTAATAAAATGACTTTTATACAATTTATCAAACAAAGAAGTAGAAGGTAATTTTAGTCCAAAAAACATTTCACATTGCATTCACACTTAGATGGTATAGATTTGTGTTATTACGGCTGTGTTTGGTTGCAGTGCAAATTTATTTGCACTAATACAAATGCATGGGAAAGCAAATGCAAAAAATGCAACTTTTTGTTTAATTTTGTTTTGAATTTACTTTATTCTACTAATGTCTTAATTTACTTAATTTGTCTGCAATCAAACAAAATAAGCTAAAATTTGAAACAAAAAATAGGTCAGAATTTACACTCAAATCATTTGCACTGTCATGATTTTGCATCAGTGCAAATTTATTTGCATTGCAACTAAACACAGCCTACGCAAAAAATAGACTAAAACAAATAAGTTGTCTGAGCCCGGTTTCGAACCGGGGACCTCTAGTGTGTGAGACTAACGTGATAACCAATGTTTTAACTATGCAAGTTGTAATTTACTAAAATGCCACTAAACCATGAAGGAAATTACTAAAATGCAACTACCATTGTATTTTCACTGAAATGCCCCCTTCTTACATTTGCTTTATTACCCCAAAAAACGCATAAGTTGTCTGAGCCCGGGTTCGAACCGGGGACCTCTAGTGTGTGAGACTAGCGTGATAACCAACTACACCACCCCGACTTAATTGATAAAGACTTCTTGTTCTTTCCCTATATACATGGTGGCACAACTAGGAATGGATGTAAAGATCATCCTTTATATATATATAATAAATATTATAAGGATTGCTATTAAGCCTTCATATCCTGTCCATATGAGAATTAGAAATTCCTGGAAAGAATAGCCATTTCCATTCAATTCAGTGGAATTCAAGCAGGCATCCAACTTCACTCTCCATTGGTACAGATCATCATTGCTTAAATGGTAAGGAATGATCAGAAAGACAAACATGCATCTTGATAGAGCACAACGGCAGAACAAAATTCACTTAACCGACCCCAAGTAGTTGAGATTTAAGGCTGAGTTGAATTTAATTGAATCACAAATACAATCAGCTCCCATCCCAACCTCATTTTAGACTGCAATTTTACCCTTGAAACTAAAAGCTTAGAAAATGGGTCAAGAATACCGCTTTAAAGATAATAAAAGCATGGAAACAAAGAGTGCTAAAATTTACAATGAGAATAAGATTAACAGTTACTTTTTTCCCTTTTTCCCTTTTTGTTTGAAAGATAAGGTTAGCAGTTACTATTAGAAATATCATAGATAGATGGAACCAGCAGTGGTAAGACCAGGAATAGATCAGTGGCAATTCAGACTTTTTTCAATTGCCATCATCAACACCCAAATACAAGTACAACACTAAGGAAAGGAGGACTAGACATAGTAAATAGCCTTAAAGGCCTAAGCAACAGGAGGCCTGAGAACATGATCTTGAGTGGTATCCCAAGATGCAGATGGCATCCATTGCCACATGGCCATTGGTGACAGGTAGCTTGGCTGATAGGGAATGTTCTTCCCATTGACAGAATAAGTGGTAGTAGCTGCAGGGAATGTATGATGTGGCACAAAAGGACATGGAACACACAGGCCCTTTACCATCTGCTCCATCCTCTCTTTCTCTGCCTTCAACTTCACCTTCTCATCCCGCAACTCGACCTTCTCTGTCTGCCCAACATAAGCCCACAAGAAGAAACTAGTTCAGTACCATGTATAACATTTATTTCAAACATAAATCCCAGGAAGCATGGGAACAGCCATACACTTGTCCACTACATAGATATCCTGGTATTTGAGATAGTTGCCTCTCTGCTGTCATCTATTTTTCCAAATATGAGAGAGGGTGGGTATAAAGACCTCTTTTCTACACAATTTATCCTATATTTTCATTATGAAGAAATAAAATGGCATATTTACATCATTTCACTCCCCCACTAACCCTATAGCCCACCATTTATAGGAGCTTTCCTCAAGTGATACTACCAGTCTCGCTGCTTCATTACAGCAGAGACCCAGATCAAATCCCATTGCCACCAGGTTGNGGGGGGGGGTTAAGGGGATGGGGGATGGTCTACACCCTGTTGTGTAGCCCCAACAGAAAATGTGCTACTACCAGTCTAAAGCTTCAAATTCTGAACTAAAAATTGCCCAATGACTAGGCTAGGTTTTGGCATTTGGAAAGGGCTTCTAAAAAGAAATTTGCAAATTAGAGCACAAGAGCAGATTTGGTTCTCAGACACAAAAGCCACCAAGTGGACTAAACAACAAAAATAAAGGAAAAGTATTGGCAGCAGCAATTGAGTTTAGCTAGTACGAGGGGCAAGTGCATAAAAGAAAACATCAGTAGGAATGCATCGTATAACCACCTTGAGGTTTTGTATTGTAACTTTAAGTACATCATTTGTTTCTTTAAGCTTTTGTGCTTCAAGATGTAGCTGGTTCAAAAGACGAGTTGCATCATTCAGGATGACAACCTTGTCTGCCTTTGGCAGCCTCCCTGGCTCCAGAATGGAACACAACTCTAAGAACCTGAGAACAGAATATTGCATTTTCATTTAGATTGTGGAGAACACAATTATTAGTTGACAATCATAAAAAGTGGAACACAGATTATCATGCCTATCATTGAGCCTGTCCCGTCGCATCTTTTCACGGCAAGCTTTGGTTCCTGGCCCAGCAGAAGACTCTATACGACCTCTGTCAAGAGGTGATATTTAGTCAGGGAAAGTCATGGAAGCTGAGCTTGACAAAAGTCCAATTCTAAAAATCCAGATATCCATAAAATCATAAAATTAAAAACCAAGCTAATGTTTGTCGGTTAATAAAGGCTAAGGAGATAATCTGAGCTAAGAGCTAAAAACTTAGAGTGGCCCAAATTATGTAAATAAGAATAATTATCCAAAAGCAGTGCTGCATAAATACATTGTAGTAAACTGATACAAGCAATTCATATTGCATCAGGATATTAGAATATTAGATCCATGTCACGATCCCCCATTTACTTTATAAAAACCCACAAAACTGGAAAATAAAATTAATAAACAAATTGATTAGGATTCCAAATAATGCTTTCTCAGTAAACACTAAACAGTAACATAAAAGTGCAGAAACTAGTTTCCAACATTAATATAAACATTGTAAGTTTGACACCAAGATCTGGCTCCAATTTATGAATGACTTGAAGCCACAAATCAATCAAAACAAAGACAAGTCAACCAATATCTGCAATAAAGATTCCCAAAACTCCCTCCTCCCAATGCATACACATACGCATGTATGCGTGTGCATGCGCATGCACAGATCAAAGAGAATAAAAAGAACTTCATATAATAGCATAATTAAACATATAAAATAAAAGATATGCATCTATAATTGCATAACTAGTCCTCATACAAGGACACCAAGTAGAATTATCCCACAATTGCCACATAGGCATTTATTTTACTTAACAAGGGTCAGCATATCCAACCAATCCAAAGTTTAACAGATCTAACAGTGAGTTATCTGCTTGCTGAGTTACAAGTCATTTGTTAATGCAATGGAATGGACAATATTTACCTTGAATAATCCATGCCATTACATACCTACAAGACTATTTTGGTTAAGGATATTATAACATATCAAGGATGTCATAGAAAACTCCATCTACGAAGCTGAAACATGTAAGCAACCGCCTGTCATTGATGAAGATTCTACAGTTCTACTGGAATTCCGGGAACATCTATATATGTAGACGGATAGGGAGGAGGAAGGAGGATGGAGAGAGGGAGGGAAAGAGAGAGAAAGTACCAATTGCCTGTCTACCAACTTATTTAGATTATTCTCCACCACACCAAAATGATATATTGCAACATTTTTTCAGGAAAAATGATTCATAAGATAACCACATGACAAATAAAATAAGACTATTGGAAAATATGTTCGTATTTTTTGCACTAGTTCAACATATAGTATTCCAATACTGTTTGTATATATGCTAACCTGCATTTCTTACACTTCTTAATTTTTGCTACTGTATTTCCTACACTTTAGTGGCATCAAGTAGCATGATGAAATCCATCAGTAGTCAAATAGAATTTGGTCTTCCAATCAGAGGACTCATCAGACCCTTTGCCATGAAATAAATTCCAATTTTAACACATCAAAACCTATCAAGAGCGACATAGAGTCTTGTATCATGTATGATTTGTTATTGTACGCAGTTCCCACACTCGATACTAATGAGTTTGTTTTGCAAAAGTGATGATTTGAGTGGGCATTAGCAATTCTATTTCAGAACCAAAACGTGTACAAGCTACAACTTCAGAGTGAAAGTAACTTATTTTCATTTCTTTAGCATCTAAACACACATCCTTTGAGTCCTAAGCAGCATCTAGATAACAGAGATATCCCAACCAAATAATCAAGATAATAGAGATATCTCAACCAAATAATCAAGATAATAGAGATATCTCAACCAAATAATNCAACCAAATAATCAAGATAATAGAGATATCTCAACCAAATAATCAAGATAATAGAGATATCTCAACCAAATAATATTTATAATTAATCAACTAAGAAAGAAATAATAGAGGCTAGCATCCTTTCGACTTGTCAGCCCTCATATTATTATTTACAAATGAGAAAAATAGGAGTTCACTAGAAAGATAACAGTAGGAGAAATTAATAATACCAGAAGGAAAATAAAAAATATTTATTTAACAAGTAAAGAACTACAAGAATCAATGAAATATTGACATGTACCGCTTCTTCAAGCATGACTTTTCAGCACAATTCTCATCCTTCAGCAGAACTTCAAGTCCAAGGCCCAAACTGCAGAACAATTTTTTTAACTCAGAAGGCATTTGTAACAGTTCAGCAGTCCATAAATAATTACTTCCAAGCATAATAGGTAAACGTATCTAAATTCTATAACCAGAGCAGAAGGGGAGGGGCAGAAAATGAATACTCTACAAAGATAAAGGCTTGAAGCAAGCAATTTGTATTAGTAGAAAAACGGAAAAAGAAAAATTAAAACACCGAACAATCAGTAAAAGGAACAAGCTCTTTTTCACCACCATAGACCTGGTCCTCCCAAACCCAGACTAAACCATTATCCGTATCAATCTTGATCAGAAATTAAAGAGACTAAAATAATAAAAATAGATAGAAATATTACAAAACCCAACTATAATAATAATAAAGATAAAAAATCACAAAGAAAATAAACGAGTTACCCTGAGACTGCTTGATCGCTAATAACCTGAGGAGGCCAAAGATATTCAGCGGCTTGAACATCATCCATATATTCTACAAACCAACTACAATTCTGATCGGAATCCATCTTCACAGATCACTCAAGCAAGCTAAATTTCAACTGTAACTGAAAAAAGAAATAGCAGAGATATTGACCCATATATGCAAAGTAAACAGAGAGCAAAACAAGGAATTCAATCGAAGAAGGAAGACTTGGTTGAGCTACCTTTGAATAATAGCCATGGTTACAGAGAAGGGGGAGACCAGATTTTCCAAGAGAGAAAGACATCTTGAACAAGGAAAAGGAATGATAAAACCCGAAGCCGCGAAAGAGTTCACGCCATATACTCATATCCGAACAGCAACTCGAATGGACACCAGTTTTTCACTGAGAATTATTGCTGGTTCCCACGAGCTGACCGAAGCAGACTCCCTCCCTCTCTCTCTTCGAAGAATTTCACTTTGAGGCATGATGCAATGAAGAAGCTCTCATCATAACAGAAATGAGGTACAATCTAAACTGCCACGTATTAAGGTAGAAAAGATCAGGACGCACCATTTTATGGGCCCACGCTAAATAATATTTAGAATTTTAACTAAATAGAAACTCTCAGACCAGATGGCTGAAATTTATTTTTAGACAGAAATGATACCTATTTGATGTTGAGTCGAGATTCTCTTGCATGAGGCAAGTTGCAACGGGCAACCGAAAGGAAGACTGTTGCAGTGGCGCCCGAGTACATTGCAATGAAATACAGCCTAATGTACAGCTATAATGTAATGTGGGTAGGAGATCTGATTTGTATTGTAGGTACTGTACAGGTTCTCTCCAACATCAATTAGAAACACCCTCTATACTATAAGGTCTGTGACAAAGATTCTCCTATATTTTGTTTTGGGACAAAGACCTTCTGTACATGATCATGAAACAAAGACCCCTTGACCGTTAAATCAGATAACGAAATACGTTAAATTATCAAAATATTTTATTAAACTTTTTCTATTTTTTTGCCTTTTTTTCTCTTAAAACTTATTTAATCTATTATTTTTCCCTTATTCTCTTGTTTTCCCTCCTTCACCGTCCTCTTTCATTCTTTCTCTCTCCCAGCTCTCCGAAATGAAAGGACGGAGAAATCTCCACCGCTGCTACAATGGGCACAGGGAGGGAGAGAGCTGTCGCCCATGTGCTGAAGTCGGTGGAGGGAGACGCTGGATTTCTTTTCCAACGTCGCCCATATGTCGCTTCCCATTCTCCGCCAAACTATTTATGGATGGAAACACGACTGGATTTCTTTTTCAACGTCGCCCAAACATCAGCTGCGCGGGTTTGGACGGCTCCCCTTTGCCGATGGCGATGGATGAAGTTGAGCGGAGAGAAACATCAACTGGATTTCTTTTTCAATGTCCAACGTCGCCCCATCGCCACCGTTTCCCACTCTGCTGCAACACCGTTGGTCCATGTTCACCTCCCTACTCTCCAACTTCGGAGACGACGCATACGGTGGTGTGGCAGAGGAAAATGAATTGCTTGCCTTGTGGCAGTGGTGCCGCTTCTGCCAAGATATGGAAATCGTCGCACCGAGAGGATAAATATCGCCGTACGTAACTTTCCATGTAAAGAATCTGTAAGGGTCTTCGGCATTGACGCAAGAAAGAAGAAAAAGGAAGAGCGGGAGAGAACAGAGAAGCCTGTTGTCCCCCACTACGTCCTCCTGTTCTCTCTGCCAGACCTTCGCCTCTATAATAAATGGCTAAATGGGGTTGAAATAAATGGGGAGATCTATACAAAAGAGAGTCTCTAGTTGCTACGGCACCATTAAAAGGGTTACCGATGAGAAGGGCGGGAGAAGAAAACAACAAACAAAGAAAAATAAAATATGGGAGTCCCCCCTTCTCTCTGTGTCTATCCTTAGTGTGCCTCTGTTTTGTTCAGAGGTAATGCATGAAGAAGTCGGTAAGCCTGAAGTATTCGATCTCTGATCCACAAGGGCCTTTTGTATTCGGAAGAGAGAGAGTGTGTGAGCTGTCAGTGTTGTAAAGAAGAGGATAACTCTCCGGCCTCCGCTCCACTTCCAAGGCTTCGAACGGAGTGAGCGACGAGTTCAACAGTTTTTTCTTGGGTATTACAGTTTTTTTTTGGCTATTAAGCATTGCAGTTTTTCATCATCGTCGGCGACGGTTATAGAGACGAGATTGAAGACGGAGAAGAGAAGAAAGGGAAGATGAAGAGAGAAATCGGGATTGAATTAAATGGGTTCAATCACGACGGTGTTAAGGGAAAGGGCAAGAAGAGAGATCGGAGGAGACAAATGTGAAGGAACGACGAGTAGTACCGAAGGTTGGGGAAGATGAACATTGTTTTTTTTATCTAGTTATTAAAAGAGTAATATTGGGATTAAAAAATAGTGTAACGGCCTTTTTAGATAAGATAGAAGGCTAACGGAAGGAGGTCTTTATTTCACGATCATAGTATGAGAGGTCTTTGTTGCAAAACAAAGTACAGAGAGATCTTTGTCACAGACCCATAGTGATGAAGGGAAATTTGGCCCGACCTCGCGATTGCCCGACACGTGGCAAAGGCAAGTAGCTCGGGGCAGTAGAGCGCCCAAAGCGAACATTGGAAGCAAGTCCAAGCTCACTACCGAGCCCGAACTCCAGACCGCTGTACT